TGCGCACATAGAATATATAGATGGGTATACTGACCCGAAAGGAAAAATGATCATTGATATGTGTGAAAGGCTTGATTTGATCATTTTCAACAGCACCGAGAAGTGTGAAGGGCAAATAACATGGGAAGTAGGAAGGCTGCAGTCAACGATAGATTACGCACTGATGTCACATAGGATGTATGATACGCTCAGGGGAATGCACACAGATGAAGGTCGCTCCAGAAGTCTGGGTAGCGATCACAAATGTATCAAGCTAAGTTTTGGAAGAGCAGTGAAAGTGGGAAGGAGACAAGATGAGCAACTACAAGAAAATTTTTATTCAGAAAGGCAAATTGAAATAGCCACGAAACAAACTGAGAAAGTAATCACTGAGGATAATAAAACACTGTGGACATACACAAATCTAATTAGACTGTTTGAGCTAGAGCTTGCTAAGGCATGTGTCACCCCGGAAAAGAAGACACCAACCCAAAAGTTGGTGGGATGAAGAAGTTAAGAAAGCGATAGCAAAACGTCAGGCAGCCTCTAGGGAACACAGACATGCTAAGCAGCGGGGTGAACCGACAGATGATGCTGAAAAAAAATCGGAGATCTTTCTAAGCTCTGGAAGGGAAGCGTCCCTTCTGATCAATAAAAAGATTAAAAGAACGGGAGCTCAGTGGCTGGCAGAAGTACATAAAAAAGATAGAAAGGCAGCTGCAAATTTTTGGAACCATCTAAACTCCCTAAGAAATGAGACGAGCCTAGAGCAGGGGTATATAACTACAGCTCAAGGTGCTAGGCTAGAAATGGACGAAGCTACTGAATATATAAGAACAAGGGTGACAGAAAAATTTCAACAACGAAGTGCCTGATCCACCACAATAGACAAAGATGGATCAAATGGCACAATGGCTCCATTTTCACAACGATAGTGGGAAAGGGCTGAGAAAAGGGTTCCTAGTAGTACATCAACAGGCCCAGATGGCATTACAATTATGCTGATAAAGACATTAGGTCCGTAGTCTAAGCAGGCTTTGAGAGAGGCAGTGAGCAAAATAATAATCGATGGTGAAGTTCCCGATGGCTGGTAACTTAGCAGGATGAGCATGATCTATAATGGAAAGGAAGACAAAGCTGACATAAACAACTACCGTCCTATAACATGACATCAGTGGTCTACAGGCTGGCGATGCAGATTATAAAGGAAAGGCTGCAGGCATGGATAGAGAATGAGGGGTGCTGGAGGAACTGCAGAATGGGTTTCGGAAACACAGGAGGTTGGAAGACAATCTGTTCTAACTGACTCAGTGCATCGAAATAGCAGAAAAGGAACACAGGCCACTGTGGCTAGCATTTTTGGATATCAAGGGAGCGTACGATAGCGTGGTTCAAGAGGACTTGTGGGCAATACTGGACACGCTAGACGTGGAAGATGTAGTCACTAATCCTTAAAGGATATCCATATAAAGGTAACAACTTAAGGTAAATATAAAGTGGGAAAAACAGGTATCCAAGACTGCGGAGGTAAAACGGGGGCTTAGGCAGGGGTGTGCCCTGTCACCCTTATTATTCATGATGCACCTACAAGAATTAGAGGCCAAATTAGAGGGAAGTGGACTGGGCTTCAACCTCTCTTTTGTCAAACAAGGAAAACTCATTGAACAGGCACTACCAGCATTGATGTACGCAGATAATATAGTGCTAATGACCGACAACAAGGAAGATTTGCTGAGATTGGTGGACATCTGCAGTAATGAGGGAGATAGATTAGATTTCAGATTCAGTAAGGAAAAATCAGCAGTCATGATTTTTAATGACAATGAAGGTAGTGAGCTTAGAATACAGGAGTTCACGCTAGAGATAACAGATAAATACAAATATCTGGGCGTATGGATAAGCAATAGGGCCGAGTACCTAAGGGAACATGAAATATACGTGACGACTAAAGGTAACAGGAATGCAGCGGTAATGAAAAACAGGGCACTGTGGAATTACAATAGGTATGAGGTTGTGAGGAAAATGGAAAGGGGTCATGCTTCCTGGTCTGACGTTCGACAATGCAGTCTTGTGCATGAGATCAGAAGTTCAAGCAAGACTCGAAATTAAGCAACGTGGAATAGATAGGCTTGCCTTAGGAGCTTATGGGAATACACCAAATCAGGGAGTACAACTTGATATGGGATGGACATCATTTGAGGGCAGGGAAGCTAGCAGCAAGATAAAATTTGAGAAGTGATTGAGAGAAATGGGGGAGGAGCGTTGGGCTAGGAAGGTATTCAGCTACTTGTAAATGAAGAATGTCGATACAAAATGGAGGAAGCGAACCAGAAAATGGACTGGTAAATACTTGGAAAACAGCAGGGGGCCAAACCAAGAAGAATTATCGGTTAAGAAGAAGGTGAAGGAAGCTGAGACCGATATGTGGAGAATTGGCATGATTAAGAAGTCCGCACTAGAGATCTATTGAACTTTTAAGCAGGAAATTACCAAGGAAAGGATCTATGATAATACTCGGCGTAGTTCTCTACTGTTTGAGGCCAGGGCGGGAGTATTGCAAACCATGACATATCGGGCCAAATACGAAGGGGTAGACACGGTATGCAGTGCGTGTGGAGAGGAAAAGAAACTGCCGAACACTTGACAATGTTCTGTAAAGAACTTCACCCTATAGTTCAGGATGATGGAGCAGAGTTTTTCAAAGCACTGGGTTTTAGGGACAGGGAGGGCAGAATAGACATTAAGCAGGTAGAATTAACTAGAAGGAGGTTATCTGATTGGTGGCTAAAGTCAAGGCATGAGTGAAAATTAAACCCTTCATTGCAAAGTACGAATCCTCAACCTCACTATTTAAGGGTAAAAAAATAAATCTAGCTTTTGGTTCATTAAGTATTACGGCTTGTTGGTGCCAGCCACCGCCCGATCTAAAGGGTACAGCCATATCCATCCATCCATCCAGCCATGGTGACTGCAGCGATCGATATCTATCGAACTTTTAAGCAGGAAATTGCCAAGGAAAGGATCTATGATGAAACCCGGGGTAGTTCTCTACTGTTTGAGGTCAGGACGAGAGTACTGCGAACCAAGACATATCGGGCCAAATATGAAGGGGTAGACACGGTATGCAGTGCATGTGGAGAGGAGGAGGAAACTGCCGAATACTTGATAATGTTCTGCAAAGGGCACAGAGGAAGGAAAGGTGGGAGAGGCCCTGACGTCACTCGTTGTGAAGCAGCGATGAAGCCGGAAGTCGGCCATATTGACTGGTCAAATTCTCTTCTCTTGTTTACTTATGAATGCGAAGCAGAAGACGCGACTCCCTCTCTGTCTCAAAAAGCACGTGGCCTGCCCGCTGCGTGTGCCGGTGCTATCCGAAACCAACGGAATGGATTCCAACACGCTGTCCTGCCGCGATACGGTTCACGAAATCTCTGCGTATAGGTGTTGTACTCTTGCACTGCCAGCGTTTATGATAAACAGGGCAAGTTGCTCGTTAAGCTTTTTCTTTATTTGATGTGTTCTTTGTGAAAATAAATATGATACTTTGGACATTGCCGTGCGACAAACCAGGTATCGAAATTCGTAGAGCTTCTTTCAGATCACTTTTTCCCTTTTTTGCGCTTCTTTTTAGGCTTTATGAAATTTTCGGTCAGGCTGTGGGCTAGACACAACGATAAAAAAGAAAAATAATGTCTTCTCTGCAATAAACCCGGAGGTTCGTAATTATGCCAGTAAAGTCGACGTCCGTGGAGCTTGCATGCATGCGTTGCAGCCCGTTGAGTTTGCACCAACCTCTTTTGTCCGACGCGCACTGGTTCCTACGTTCACCCCAAAGGCCATGATTTCATTACTACGAAAGCAGCGAAGACCACCCAAAAGTGCGTGGGAAGACGTCTTCAGTGTGATTCACGCGCACTAGTAGCTTACAGAGAACGATGAACAGGATTGCGTTGGGGCGAAAGGTGGAAAAGTTAGCGGAAGGAATACGTGAGAAACATCTGCGGGATGCTTCACGCGTCAACACAGCCGTTAAGGAGGCAGGGAAAGCCAGCCAAATGCGAGGGAAGATGTCTCCGGGATACGTTCCGGGACAGATTTTTTTTATTGCTGTAGCCATAAATATTTGCGGTGAAATATTTCTGTGCGTCATTGAGTTGTACATATACTGCTCCTTGTGTACTTCACAATTTTACCCCATACTTGTTATTGTCGTGTCATTAAAATGTGTTTTACCCATTCTAGTTGAGTTCTCAAATCACTTGGTCAACATCGTTCGAACGGCTTTTTCAGCTTCTGAATGCACAAGCACGCACAAGGTAACCAGGTGCACCTGGTTACCTTGTGCAGGTGCAGTGTAGACATGTTAACGCTTTTTGCTACAATACAGACAATATTGCGGAGAGCGAGACAATATTGCGAAGAGCGAGCATCTTAAGCGAAGCAGAACAGGAACAATAATGCGCAGAAGCATGTGGTAACTGTACAGGAACCTGAAAAACAAGATTAGATTACAGTCTTAATAAGGGCCTGTGGACGGCAAATGCATCGTCCGTTGTCATAAAAAACAACACCGCATAATTTTCACTAACCTGCAAGGCATTCATTGAACCAATTCTAGAGCACAGTCGTTATCTTTTATGATGGCTTTTCAGCATAATTTTGACGGACGCTGCAAATTCGGAGTATGTATACGTGCGCTCGTTTCGTGGTTTCTAGTGACGAACACCTGCAGTACGCCACGGTTAGGTGCGAGGCCCATGAAAACGTGCAGTTTTATCTAGTGACTTCACCATCAAAAGAAACTAGTTCCCACGAGTCCTCTATTGCTTAGTTAAAATAGGGCTCTTGACAGCAAAGAAATTCACTGACTGTAGAAATCTCAACATCAATACTAAGCAGCCGAAGAGGCCAAGGATGCTATCACGTGTGGCCAAAATAAATAGTAACTGAAACCGGCTGCATTATTTAGCCATTTGTTATGTTCTTTAGCAAACATCACTGGAATGAATGACTGAGCATGCTATAGAGAACAATGCCAACTTTATTATGAAAGCAATAACTGCTTTTTAAAAAAACTCTGCGCAGCACACAGGGCCCATTTCATCTATGAACCTAACACACAGTATTACATGCACATGCTAAGAGGCTGGGTTGCACTGCCCTGATGCGGAGCATTCAGTCCATCAACTGTCTCGGGTGCTGGGCCCAGGGTGAACATGGTGGACCAGGGACACCGGACTGGTAATGTCCTCCGAGACAAGTGTGTTCACCATGGCCTTCCACCGGTGAAACACGATTCGTGAGCTCTTTTCGAGGGCAGAGCAATCTTTGTCTTTATGAAGGTAGTGTTCTTGCCAAAAATGTAGTAGCTCAAGCAAGTTTTGCAATAAGTTTCCTGACGAAGCTGTGGCTGTGGCTGCTGTGGAGTCAGCAGGGACACTAGTAGGTGCATTGGCACTGCAGGCCGCTTTGCTAGCTGCATCTGGTGGAGGTGGGCCCCGCAGAGCATGCAGGTAACTCACTAGTTGACCGTGCTGTTGTGCAAAGATCAGCAGCACTAAGGCTGTGTTAACACAGCTCACATTCTCCTGCGTGAGGTTAGAAATGGTCACAAGAGAAACCAGCTTTTTGAGATAACGAATCCGGTTTCGTTGGTCCCCGATATGGCTCAGCACATAGCTGGTCCTCTCAGCATACTCTTTAGCCTCATAGTCATCTGACACAGAGAGGTGCTCCTGAGAAAGAACCAGGCTACGGACAAACATGTTGGAGTCCACCAAGCAGCCGTTGACCAGCTGGAGTAGCTTTCGTTGCTTTGCCTCGGTGCTCAGGATTTTGTCAAGCTGCCGGAATGCCCTTAGATTGAACTTCACCAACTCGCCCAGGAGGTCAAAACTGCTTTGAAGCAGTTCTTTTTGGCGAACATTACAGTTGACTAGGTTGCCAGCGACCAACTGCAGAAGGCCCCTGGAAAGGAGGAAGTCTTGATCAGCACTACTGGTGCACCCACGTAGATAACTTTCGATAGCACGTGACAGCCAGAATCTGAACGTGGAGCTACCTGCTTCTTTCTTGAGCACTTCAACTATTTTGGTGAGAAGGCCTTTACTCCCAGTGCACATCAAGTTGCGATCAAGGCTTGGACTTTCTACACTTCGTGCTTGTTCATTTCTTTTGAGTTCACTGTATTCGCTCCATGAAAGCATGACATGTTTGTACTCTGCATGTTCACAAAAACTGTGCACCAATCTTAGCACTTGAATCTTGAGGGCAACTTCAGGACTACACTCGCAGTTAACGTTGTGACCTGGCAGGCGACCCCTGTCTTGGCCTCGCATTGTATTGTGTTTCCATACGAAGTGATCAAACAGATCCGACAGCTGTGGGATTAGCCGCAGCGATGCCAGCGCCCTTTGCACCTCTTTTTTGCGTTTTCCAACAAGTAGTAAGCCTAGTATGTAGACAGCCTCTGCACGGAATGTCATTTCTGCTGAGATCTTTAGGGCTGCTTCATGTTGGAACCGGCCGCTTTCTCTATTCCACAGAGAGATCCCACCAATAAAGTCCATCACTGGGCCAGTGCCTGAAGTGCTGACTTGATTTTCGATCCATTGCATCCAGTGGTTCATTTCCCCAGCAATAGCTGGAAACCTTGGTGTATAGGGTTTTGCACAAGCTATCATGACCAGACGCTTGAGGATACCAGGTACATTTAAGATGACCTCTTGGTTGATGTCTCGAACACAGGAAAAGTTATTGCGGTTTTTCTCCTTGCACTGGACATACAGTGACGTTTTGTGCTCATACACATCCAGGTCTGACAAGCTTATAGCCAGAATTTTGCAGAAATTGGCCAGTTGAATGTCACTCAAGTTGGCGATCAGACTGGTTATGTTGGCTATGGCGGTAAGATTCAGAACTTCTCGCCGTGAAAGCAAAAGACATTCTATGAGGTCGCATGCCACTAAGCAAGTTTCACTGAACTGCAGCAAGGAGAGGAGGCCTTGAAAAAGTGCTTCTTTATCAGACAATTTCCGTGCTGTATTTGCATCATCCACACAGAGCCTATGTAGAACTTGAACACAATGGCTCTGTATAATAAGGTAACGAGGATCCTTCGCATGCTTGATGGCACTCTCTCTAGGAAGCAGGCTGTACTGCATAATGATGCGCAGCAAGATCTCAATCCCATTAAGCTCCACCAACAGCCTCGTAATGGCTGCAGGACGACTTGAATATGAGCCATCGACAATATCCATAGATGTGCTCAGGTGAGCGTGGTACTGGAGTTTTTGCTGAAGAGCCAGAAGGATGTGCAGTGACTCTTCGTACAGCTTGTCGTCAGGATAGTAGGCAACTGACAGATGATCAAGGGTCTGCAATTGTTGGTACAGAGGTCCATACTCAGTCATCATCAGCTCTGGCTGGAGAATTCCTATCAGTTGCTCAGGTGGCTTGCTGGTGATGACCATGCTCTTTTCGCATATTTCCCTTTGTAGTGTGAACAAAGAGGCAGCGCTGATACCCTTGAAAAGAGCCCGGGTTTGCACGTACCCAACGGACGACATTTTGGCAGCCTACATTCTACGCTACGGCACGCGATACAGCCACGCAACTGCCGCAGGCAGACCCCGGAAACTCTCAAGTTCGAGTGCTCACCTGTAGGGGGCAAAATAAAATCAACCGCGGCGCGTTTCTGTTTTAAACACCCAGAGTGGATTTACTAACCTTTCTCGCCACTCGCGCTAATAGATAAATGAATAGATGTGGCTGTACCCTTTAGATCGGGCGGCGGCTATCGCCACCTAGCCGTAATACTTAGTGAACTAACCATTAAATTTATCTTTTTTTTTCCTTTAAATAGTGAGGTTGAGGATTCGTACTTTGCGGTGAAAGGTTTAATTTTTACTCGCGCTTTGAGTTTAGCTACCAATCAGATAACCTTCTTCCTAGTTAAGTCTACCCGCTTAAAGTCTATTTTGCCCTCCCTGTCCCTAAACCCCAGTGCTTTGAAAAACTCTGCGCCATCATCCTGAACTATAGGGTGAAGCCCTTTACAGAACATTATGAAGTGTTCGGAAGTTTTTTCTTCCTCTCCACACGCATTGCATACCGTGTCTACCCCTTCGTATTTGGCCCGATATGTCTTGGTTCGCAATACTCCCGTCCTGGCCTCAAACAGTAGAGAACTACCCCGAGTATTATCATAAATCCTTTCCTTGGCAATTTCCTGCTTAAAAGTTCGATAGATCTCTAGTACGGCCTTCTTAATCATTCCAATTCTCCACATGTCAGTCTCCTTTTCCTTCACCTTCTTCTTAACCGATAATTCTTTTTGGTTTGGCCCCCTGCTGTTTTCCAAGTATTTACCAGTCAATTTTCTGGTTCGCTTCCGCCATTTTGTATAGACTTTTTTCATGTACAAGTAGCTGAATACCTTCCTAGCCCAACGCTCCTCCCCCAATTCTCTCAATCGCTTCTGAAATTTTATCTTGCTGCTAGCTTCCCTGCCCTCAAATGATGTCCATCCCATATCACCTTGTACTCCCGGGTGTATTCCCGTGAGCTCCTAAAGCAAGCCTACCTATTCCACGTTGCTTAACTTCTAATCTTGCTTGAACTTCTGATCTCATGCACAAGACCGCATTGCGAACGTCAGACCAGGAACCATGACCCCTTTTCATATTCTTCTCACAACATCATACTTATTGTAATTCCACAGTGCCCTGTTTTTCATTACCGCTGCATTCCTGTTACCTTTAGTCGACACGTATATTTCGTGTTACCTTAGGTACTCGGCCCCATTGCTTACCCATACGCCAACATATTTGTATTTATCTGTTATCTCTAGCGTGACCTCCTGTATTCTAAGCGCACTACGTTCATTGTCATCAAAAATCATGACTGCTGACTTTTCCTTACTGAATCTGAAATCTAATCTATCTCCCTCATTACTGCAGATGTCCACCAATCTCTGCAAATCTTCCTTGTTGTCGGCCATTAGCACTATATCATCTGCGTACATCAATGCTTGTAGTGCCTGTTCAATATGAGTTTTCCTTGTTTGACAAAAGAGAGGTTGAAGCCCAGTCCACTTCCCTCTAATTTGGCCTCTAATCCTTGTAGGTGCATCATGAATAATAAGGGTGACAGGGCACACCCCTGCCTAAGCCCCCGTTTTACCTCCGCAGTCTTGGATACCTGTTTTTCCCACTTTATATTTACCTTAAGTTGTTACCTTTATATGGATATCCTTTAAGGATTGGTGACTACATCTTCCACGTCTAGCGTGTCCAGTATTGCCCACAAGTCCTCTTGAACCACGCTATCGTACGCTCCCTTGATATCCAAAAATGCTAGCCACAGTGGCCTGTGTTCCTTTTCTGCTATTTCGATACACTGAGTCAGTTAGAGCAGATTGTCTTCCAACCTCCTGTGTTTCCGAAACCCATTCTGCAGTTCCTCCAGCACCCCTCATTCTCTATCCATGCCTGCAGCCTTTCCTTTATAATCTGCGATCGCCAGCCTGTAGACCACTGATGTCATGTTATAGGACGGTAGTTGTTTATGTCAGCTTTGTCTTCCTTTCCATTATAGATCATGCTCATCCTGCTAAGTTACCAGCCATCGGGAACTTCACCATCGATTATTATTTTGCTCACTGCCTCTCTCAAAGCCTGCTTAGACTACGGACCTAATGTCTTTATCAGCATAATTGGAATGCCATCTGGGCCTGTTGATGTACTACTAGGAACCCTTTTCTCAGCCCTTTCCCACTATCGTTGTGAAAATGGAGCCATTGTGCCATTTGATCCATCCTTGTCTATTGTGGTGGATCAGGCACTTCGTTGTTGAAATATTTCTGTCACCCTTGTTCTTATATATTCAGTAGCTTCGTCCATTTCTAGCCTAGCACCTTGAGCTGTAGTTATATACCCCTGTTCTAGGCTCGTCTCATTTCTTAGGGAGTTTAGATGGTTCCAAAAATTTGCAGCTGCCTTTCTATCTTTTTTATGTACTTCTGCCAGCCACTGAGCTCCCGTTCTTTTAATCTTTTTATTGATCAGAAGGGACGCTTCCCTTCCAGAGCTTAGAAAGATCTCCGATTTTCTTTCAGCATCATCTGTCGGTTCACCCCGCTGCTTAGCATGTCTGTGTTCCCTAGAGGCTGCCTGACGTTTTGCTATCGCTCTCTTAACTTCCTCATCCCACCAACTTTTGGGTTGGTGTCTTCTTTTCCGGGGTGACACATGCCTTAGCAAGCTCTAGCTCAAACAGTCTAATTATATTTGTGTATGTCCACAGTGTTTTATTATTCTCAGTGATTACTTTCTCAGTTTGTTTAGTGGCTATTTCAATTTGCCTTTCTGAATAAAAATTTTCTTGTAGTTGCTCATCTTGTCTCCTTCCCACTTTCACTGCTCTTCCAAAACTTAGCTTGATACGTTTGTGATCACTACCCAGACTTCTGGAGCCACCTTCATCTATATGCATTCCCCTGAGCTTATCATACATCCTATGTGACATCAGTGCGTAATCTATCGTCGACTGCGCGCAGCCTTCCTACCTCCATGTTATTTGCCCTTCACACTTCTCGGTACTGTTGCAAATGATCAAATCAAGCCCTTCACACATATCCATGATCATTTTGCCTGTCGGGTCGGTATACCAATCTATATCTTCTAAGTGTGCATTCATATCTCCTAGTATAATTATCTCGCACTCTCCTCCTAACTCCTGAATGTCCTTTGATATACACTCTACCATTGCCTGGTTTTCCTCTCTGGCCTTTGCTCCTCTCCACAAGTTCACGAAACCAAGGAGTGTCATTTGCCCTGCCACTTTCCCCTTTAGCCATAAATGATCCTCGCACTCCTGCTTCACCCTTTGTCAGTCTGTACTTTTATGGGAAACTTTAAGCCCACACCATCTCGCCTCGCGGTATTGCAGTTCAGTACGCCGCCGCTACGTATTTGCATGTTATTTTGATACAACAGTCCAAACGTACAGTTTCCGTTCTCTAAACTGGTAGGTGTTCTGTGCCGCAGGCCCGAGATCACGAGCGAAAAGAAAGAAGCGGTCCAGCGGCACACACTGCCGGAACGGTGCCGCACCGCACTACATCAATAATAACAAAACGCCACCAGTATGCCCATTATAATGGCCGCTGTGACGTAATTTCTGCCACATTTTTTTACGCCCTGCGCCGGTTAGGCATGCCCTCTCCTACCTTTCCTTCCTCCGTTTTTCAAAGCGCTGGGGTTTAGGGACAGGGAGGTCAAAATAGCCTTTAAGCGGGTAGAAATATCTAGAAGGAGGTTGTCTGATTGGTGGCTATAGTAAAGGCACGAGTCAAAATTAAGACCTTCACTGTAAAGTACGAGTCCTCAACTTTACTATTTAAAGGGGAAAAAAAGGATAAATCTAGTGGTTAGTTTACTAAATATTACGACTAGATGGCGCCAGCCGCCGCCCAATTTAAAGGGTAGAGACACATCTATCCATAATTCATTCATCCACCCATGAAACCACGGCCTCCGTGCATGGAACTGTGCTAAAATGTAAGGTCGCAGCGTCTTCTGCGCCGCTCGGCGCAGCATGGATGGATGGATGCTATGAGCGTCCCCTTTATAACGGGGTGGTGACAAGTATGCCACCAGGCTCAAAAAAAAAAAAAAAAAAACCTTTTTTTCTTTTTTTCTATGTTGGCCTAATGCCTCTACTTCGATAAATTCTATCTTAATGGAAAAAAGGTAAATTTTCAGCTTAAGTTCTCTGCCATTTACGGCACACTGTCCATATTTTATTTTTCCAATATTTATTTTTGTCCTTTCTCTCTAATTTTCTGCCACCAATACTCTAACCGTCTCTTACTTATTTCAATCGCGGGTGTGTTCAGCTTTCCATTGTTGTCCCTAAAACCCAAGGCTTCCTGTAGGTTCGTGCCCAAACGTACACCTGGGTGGATATCTCCACATTCAATCAGAACATGTTCCGCCGTTTCCTTATCTTTCCCGCAGCATGTGCATTGTTCTTCTTCTTTACTGAATCTTGCTTTATAACTACGCGTTCTAAGGCAACCCGATCTCGCTTCAAACAGTAAAGCGCTTCCCCTTGAATTATCGTAAAAAGCCTCCCTCCTTATTTCATTTTTGCCCTTTCGGTAGTTACTCAAAGCCGGTTTTTTCTCCATAGCTGCCATCCAGTAAATCCTCTCCGCCTCCCTGACTTTTCCCTTAACGCTCTTTGTTGACATATGGCTCACAATACCAGCCGTATATTTACTAGTGAGTCTTCTAGTTCTTTTTCTCCACTGTGTGTCCACGCTCTTCCTATACAAATAACGGAACACCTTCTCTGCCCATCTACTCTCCTTCATATTTCTTAGCCCTTCTTCGAACCTTATTTTGCTCTGCGCTTCCCTCGCCTCAAAACCTGCCCACCCCATATCGCCCTTTACAGCCTCGTTTGTCGTCTTCCCGTGCGCACCCAACGCGAGGCGTCCCACAGTCCTTTGATTTACATCCATTCCCGATTGCACCTCTGCCCTCATGCACACCACTGAGTTCCCAAAAGTAAGCCCTGGAACCATTACACCCTTCCACAGACCT